TAAATTAAATTATAATAAAATTAAAGAAATTACATAAAAAATGAGAACTTTTAAATAATTGATTTGATATTTATATATATTTTTTCAAATTTTTATAATATCTTTAAATTTATATTTTATTCAAAAATAAAATCATTATTGTTTTCTTAAAAACACATAAAATCGTATTATAACATCGACAGAGAATAAAATAAAACATTAAAATCGAGATGTATCTCGCTACATTACGCGAGTACCCTTCTAGCTTTAAACTAGTGGTTGAAATTGATTTTCTCATTTTTAAAATTTTGGAGCTTCTCATTAAACCTAACACTATATATATATATAGGGCTGTAAACGAACCGAACGTTCAGCGAACCGTTCGGCGGAAAGTTCGTTTATTTAATAAATGAACGAACATGAACAAATTTTTTTGTTCGTTTAGTTAAACGAACGAACATGAACAAGAGTCTCGTTCGTTCATTTATGTTCGTGAAGGTTCGTTCATTACCGTTCGTTTATGTTCTTTATATTCGTTCGTTTATATTCGTTTATATATTAAATTTAATATATAATCTTTTATTTATTTACTTTGAAATCAAATAATATTTATTTATGTTTGTTTAACTTGTTCGTTTATATTCATTTAGCCCGTTCGTTTATGTTCGTTAATTTACGTTCGTTTAGCATGTTAACGAACGAACATAAACGAACACGAACACACCTTATTTTTAAGCGAACGAACACGAACACAAAGATTTCCGTTCGTTTACCGTTCGTGTTCGTTCGTTTGTTCGGTTAAGTTAAATGAACAAACATGAACAAGACTCCGTTCGTGTTCGTTCGGTTCGTTTACAGCCCTATATATATATATAACTGAATGAGAACCCTAAATATTTTATAAGTTGAGAACCAACTATTTCAGAAGTTATTCATTATTAATAACTCGTGTATAATTGATTTTCAGGTTCTCAAAATATTAATGATTTTCATTTGAACTTATCCCTATATACATACAGATAGAGTACCATATACATACATGATGAGTTATTAATTTATGTATAAGTGGTTTCTAGGTTCTCAAAATATATTTGGTTTTCGTCAGTAAGAGAGAAAAACTTTGCTCAAGTAGAGAAATGTTTTTTTTAAGTATATAATATTTATATACAGCAAATGCAACAAATAAACTCACACACCCTCCTCATATTTGGTGAGGTTTGAACCACTGATCTCCTAAAAGGTCAATGTTGATGGCTGAGCCGACAATTGATTGGTTTTAGAAACTTTTGACACCTTGTCATCTTTTCAGCCTTCGGGCATGTCCCAGTTTAGACCTTTGGGCTGTAAATTAAAATGCAATTAGAATTTATCCAATTTTTTTTATTACAACAGAAGATGAATGTCATTAAAAATGATTATATAGCATACACGAAGGAAAATGTTCAGAGGTCGATCTTTCTTTGCTTGGTTCATTCTGGTACGAACCAAGTAGAGAAAACCAGACCATTTAACCTTTTCTAATCACATCCGTTAAATTATCTCAATACAACGATTTAAGTAAGTTTTTGGTTCTTTTTTTCAAGGTTCTTTCGAAATTTTTTCTAGTATGTTTATGTATGTGTATGTGTATATACACACAAATACAGAGAGAGATTGAGTAGTTACCCTAACACAAGCAGCTCAACGTCCGAGTAGTTAACCACAAGGATGGTGCCTGATTAGATTGAGCTTGGGGTCCAAAGATCAAAGTGTCTAGAGATCTCAGGTTCAAATCCAAGGAGGAATAAAAATCCCCTTGTGGCCAAGAAGTTTCAAATGTGGTGACTCCGGGCTACCCGCAAAGCAGGTGGTCGCCCTGGGATTAGTCGGCTCGCATAACGGGTTGGATATCCAAGTTAATAAAAGAAAACGTCCGGGTAGTTTATTTTTCTTGGTAATAATCTACTCACTTTGTCATCCAATGTTGTCGAAACTTGTTGGCTTCAAAATCTCCTCCTTGAGCATCATTGCGCCTTGTCTAGCGCCATTTTGGTCTACTGCGATAATGTTGTCAGTATTATATAAAATTCATTCTTGCAATATATTTTTACAGAACTTTCTTATTTAAGATATCTTATCGTAAACATAAAAAAAGGGTATTCAAAAGTCGGTTTCTAAAAAAGGAATAGAAACAAATTACCTTCCAATTTTATACAATTTTCCCTGACTTAAACTTTGACCCCATCCACAACAAACACTGGTTCTATTCATCTACTCTTAGATAGAGTGGTTGACTTCCTCAACCAATCTTAACGAACTCATATTCTTTTTAATGTTCTCTTCTGCACACCAAATGTATTCCACCTAATACACCAAAACTCTCATTCCAGGAAAACAAAACTGGGAAAGAGGTTCGAGTGAATAAATGGAGTACTCAAAATTACAAATCATTGTAGGTCAAAGAAGTATGCATTTTTTTTGGTTTCTAGTCGTCTTATATTTACAGGGTTAGGTTCTGGTGAGAATGAAAGTTTCAGTGAGAAGGGATACACTAGATCAGTTCCTTTCTAAAGCACAATTCATGGGTTGTTTTGGGATTAAAAGTGATCAAGGGTCCAAATCCCTTCTTATACTTTTCACCTTAACTTTTATTCTCACACGATCTATATATATATATATATATATATATATATATATATATATATATAAGAACCACTTCATCAAACACTAATGAGATAAACAAGACCAATTCCTTCCTAAAGCGCAATTCATGGGTTGTTTTGGGATTAAAAGTGATCAAGGATCCAAATCTCTTCTTACACTTATCACCTTAACTTCTATTCTCACACGATCTATATATATATATATATATATATATACAGGTGAGTTATTATGCAACCCTTTTACATTTATACAACCAATACAACTCAATCTCAACCATTCATTTAATTTGATGAATATATGATTTCATAAAAGTTTTGACTGTTTCTTAATATAAAGTATTGAACATAATTAATGAACTCTAGTTAATATTCAAATCATAATAAATGAACTTTCATCATTTTTATAAATATCTCAATTAATTGGGTTGTACAAATGAACATGCCGTATTTGAAATATACCACTTTATCAACACTAATGAGATACATTAGATCAATTCCTTTCTAAAGCGCAATTCATGTGTTTTTTTGGGATTAAAAGTGATCAATGGTCCAAATCCCTTCTTACACTTCTTACCTTAAATTCTATTCTCACATGATCTATATATATAGACGGATCCCATGTTCATCATCCATCCTATAGGAACTATGAGATTACCCAAAGACGCCTTCGGCATCCAAGGGTCATCTTTCTATTTGAATAACATCTCAATTCCAGCGACAATGTCATTCATAAATAAACTCAAAACCCTACGGAAATCTGTTGGGACAGGGGATTCACCCAAAAGAATGGTTAATGATACACTCAACTAATGAACGACAAAAGCTATATCCCGAAAAAGGATTCACGTGGACGTATTGGTTCATGTAACATGTAAAACACAAATGCTTTTTGACAAGCCTTTGCTGCTCCGGGTTAAAATCCAGGTCAACCCATTGACAAAGTGAATTATAAATATAATATAACATATATTTATATATATATATATATATATATGTGCATTATCTTTGTTATAGAAACCTCAACAACTTTTGCTTTTGTATGAATCATTATTACAATAAAGGTTTCAGCTCACCTGATTTGCTAACACCTTCATGCATGAATATTTATCCTTACAATACCTTATCCTTTTCCCTACAAATACCCAAACTTTCTCTCCATCTTATTCATAACATCCAAGAATCACCTAAAAGCACTTTGCTTCCAACAATGGCAGCCAAGAACACCATCTTTTCAATTCTTTTCGGTTTAGTATTGTTGGGAGTAGCTCGTCTTAACGTGATCAATGCACTGAGTTCTAACTACTATGACCAAACATGCCCACAGGCCGAATCAGCCATTACGAGTGTCGTGAAGAAAGCCATGTTGAATGACCGAACAGTTCCTGCTGCACTTCTTAGAATGCATTTCCATGATTGCTTTATCAGGGTGACTACTGTTCTTCCACAAAATTTGTATTTTCTGTGTCATGTATAAAAGAAGGATGGTCGTAGGGGCAAGTTACAAGTAACAGCGGCAGATCTACTATATTATTTTGTCTGATTATTGACTCTTATATTTTGAAGGGATGTGATGCTTCTGTGCTGTTGAATTCAACTGGGAAGAACAAAGCTGAGAAAGATGGACCTCCAAACATATCTTTGCATGCATTCTACGTGATCGACAATGCCAAGAAAGCAGTAGAGGCTGTGTGTCCTAAAACCGTYTCTTGTGCTGATATCTTGGCCTTAGCAGCAAGAGATGCGGTCACTTTGGTCAGTAATGTTCTTGTTGACAAGTTATATGTTACACATTTTATGTATTATGATGTTAAAATTTGGGATTTTTGGAATGTGATGGAATGTAGTCTGGAGGGCCAACATGGGATGTGCCAAAAGGAAGAAAGGATGGAAGAATTTCGAAGGCAACAGAAACACGACAGTTACCAGCTCCAACGTTCAACATTTCCCAGTTGCAACAAAGTTTTTCACGTAGAGGTCTTTCCATGAAAGATTTAGTTGCACTCTCAGGTAATCAACCAAATCTTGCATCTAAAACACGCCTATAATCCGGAAGAGTGAAAATTTAATGAGTTAGCCTCTAGACTTGGCAAAATAAGCCAGTTGAATAAAGGTTAACTTTTACCTGTGCAGGAGGCCATACTCTCGGGTTCGCTCATTGCTCATCATTCCAGAACAGGATACACAACTTTGCTTCAAAGCAAAGCGTAGACCCAACACTGAAATCATCATTTGCAGCCAGTTTAAAGAGGGTCTGCCCGGCACAAAACACCGTAAAAAAYGCAGGGGCGAATCTTGACTCTACACCCACTACATTCGACAACAGATATTATAAGTTACTTCTCCAAGGTAAGAGTATTTTTTCATCTGATCAATCATTGGTGACAATGGCAAGCACAAATGCAATGGTCTCAAAGTTTGCTAGCTCAAGACAAGAGTTTGAGAAAGCATTTGTGAAATCCATGATCAAGATGAGCAGCATCAGTGGTGGTGGCCAAGAGGTTAGGTTAGATTGTAGAGTGGTAAACTGAACCAGATTGGCTGAAGGGAGGTAATTGATTGAAATTGTTTGCATTTTATGTTCATTTGGATTTCGTCCAGAAGTTTGAAGGATCACTGAAGTATATGCATATTTATTGTATTTTTTGTCATAATGGTTACTGTTTAATGAATATTCGATAAAAAGGTTCTCGCTACAGATTGAAAGATCAATTTGAAATCATATTTACTTCAGTTTAACTTACCATGTGGTATGTGGAGAAAAGGATGATATATAATCGCATGCCATTGTGTTAGAAATTTAGAATAAGATGTTCATGTAGAAAGAAAACATAATGCAATTAGAAATAGGGGCATAATCAAAAGAGAACCACAAAAAGTTTGAGAACCATATGAACCACTAATAATATGTTGTTTCATATTAAATTTGAGAGATAAAGAACGAAAACAAGAGTTCCAATCCAAAGATTTTTGGTTTTACAAACATTGGTAATAGCTTACCAAGGCGATGATCATTAGCGGGTCCGAGAGGATGGTCACAATGTTAAACAAAAAATACACCATAAAACCAATCACACTATGAAACAACGTATGCATTGTTTAACAAACACATGATTACTGGTTCTCGCAATTCTCAACCTTTTTGTGGTTCTCATTTGATTATTCACCGTTAAGAGTAATTCTCAAATAATTTAGCCTTTATTTGAGAAATTGCACTATCAAGATGGAAACCAAGGAATACTCAGACATATCAACGTAATTATCATAATGTAGAATTGAGGTGTACTATTTCAAGTGCAATTGCCAACCCCTACATCTAGAGTTCACTGCTCGTGATGAAACATAATCAGAAAACAGATAACTATGACTCTTTAACGGAAAATCAACTACATTAAACATTTTGGGCATCACCAAGGTTGTAGTGTAGTACTTAACATTTAAAATTGGCAATAAACAATCACAAGTTCACAACCTCATATATCTAATTTCATGAATACATAGAGCACAAAGCTATATACAAGTGCACATGAAATTTGTGGACATCATGTAGATGTAATTGGCACTCGAGATCCAAAATTGGCAAGAAACAATCACAATCCTATTCCAGTGTATCTAATTTCAAATCTAGCAAGTCTAGCAACACAAATCATAACAAATGTGAAAGTTCTTAACCAATAAACCCTAAAATCGATTCCGATATGGATATATATATATATATATATATATATGTGTGTGTGTGTATAAGAGAATACCTGCTTGAAATCACGAAGAACCGTAAACTCGAAGGCCTTCTTGGAGAAAGGCACTGCAGAGCCAACAAACAGCCTTCGTGGCTACCTTGCCGCCACCTTTCGCCGTCGCCGTATCTTGTTTGTTGAACGCAACAGAAAGAGGGAGAGGGTTTCAGGAGAAAACAGAGAGGCTGGGGGTAAATCGGCGGGAACGAGTTTCATTCCGCCCATTTTGGTGGTAAATGGTTACAACTGCTAAAGTAAAATGTCTTTTGTACATGTTTACTCCCTATAGTTTAAAAACTATCACCTCCAGCCCTCATTGTTTTCTTATATCACTTTTTACCCACAGTCAAATTCTACATCAATTTTCTTAGAAGAATAACCCAACTAAGGATGGTGATTTGCTTCGACCTGGTGAGGAATCCGACTCATCCGACCCAAACGGGACAAGGATTCCCTACTAAAACGGGTCTCAGGGTCGGAGATCCCTGGTAGACTCAAACCGGAGTTCGAGCTGGGTATTGTACCCCCCAACCCGACCCATACTCGGTATACTAATATCCATTTAATAGTATATGGGCTTTGGAAATTCTGATAGTTGGTCTCTGATGACTTGTTATTGGACTTTAAATAATAAGAAATTGAAAAGAAATGGGGTTTGACCATGGTTTGACCGGGGACAGGATGTTAATCTTCATACCTGTTGGAGACCGGGCCTAGGCCAAGGAGCTGTTACTAAAAACCGGGATCGGGGATTACAACACCCGCCCCATCCTTGCCCTGTTGCCATGCCTAAACCCAACAATACTAACAAATACACCATGAAATATAGAAAAACATATTGTTCAATTTATTATAGAAATCTGGAAAACCGTCTTTAAAAAATTAAATAAAATACAATATGACGGACACGAATACATAACGATTTGATCTAAAACATTGGATTAAAGGCTCGAGTTTTTGCCAGCAATGTCGATGACGAAACGGTACTTGACATCGTTCTTGGCCAGTCGGGTTAAGGCTTCGTTAATTTTATCAGAAGTAACCGTCTCTATATCACATGTGATGTTGTTCTCCCCACAAAAGTTCAACATTTCTTGTGTTTCTTTAATTCCTCCGGTCATGCTACCTTTCACCGCCCTTTTTCCTATATATATATTTCACATTCGTATAAACTCATACCATACGACTACGATACACGTACATATGTACTACAATATATATACATATGCAGGGGAAAGTATAAATGAGAACTGTAAATCATTTGATAAGTTGGGAACCAACTATTTCAAAACTTCACAACAAACACTTTTTTACATTTGAAACTTCACAACAAAACACTGTGAATGTAACAACATTCACAGTGTTTTTGCTGTCAATGTTCGTTTTTTTTTTTTTTACTTTCACAACGTTTTGGTGTAAAGTTTCAAATGTAAAAAAATGTCTCACGGGTCTTACGAAAACAGGTTGGTTTTACGTGAACCCAACTATATATATATATATACATATATATATATATATATATATACATATATATATATATATATATATATATATACGCACACATATTGGGTTCACGTGAGACCAATCTGTTATTGTGAGACCTATGAGACCACTTTTTTTACACTTAAAACTTCACAGCAAAACGCTGTGAAGGTAACCTTCACAGTGTTTTGATGTGAAGGTTCGGCTTTTATTTACTTTTACAATGTTTTGCTGTGAAGTTTCAAGCGTAAAAAAATGGTTTCACGGGTCTTACGAATACATGTTGTTCTCACGTGAATTCAACATATATAAATATATATATATATATATATA